GTTTGACCCCAGAGGACACTAGTCAACCAGTATACACTGTTGGCAAAAGACAGGTCACTAAAAAGGGAAATGTCCCCACAGTTCTAAGAGAAACCATGTGGTCCAGCAAAGACTGTAAGTCATCCTGGCAGGTAATACAACTGATGGGGGGAAAAAACTAGAAGAGCAAAGAGAGGCTCTAGCCATAACTCCAAGAATAATGCCTGTGGAGCCTGAACTGACCTTAACAACATTAGATCAATAAAAGTTAATTCTGATTACCACAGGTCTCACTTTAAGTTAGTGTTAAATGTCCAGCAGGAAAGTATGACAGAAACCATATATAACACTGGCATTGCTGTACATGGTACCAAGTCTCTTTAATAAGGTAACTTTTTACATTCAATTTGGAGATAGTGGCTTGGTTATCTGAAATATATGAGGAAAATCTGTCCTTAGAAAGAGTTAACTATTTCAGATAATTATAGATATTCTTTGATACTATGCCCAAACTCAGCAAGTTTTAATCACAATTTGGAGTTGGAAGCTACCAAGAACTTGGGGCACTCTGTCACAGAGACCCAATGGTTTTTGCTGCTCTTTGGAGGGTTCTTTTACCCATCATGCATGACTTTGTAATGCTGACCATTAGTCAACTGGAAAACACTGGTTAACGGAGTCAACCAAGAAAAATACCTTCCAAATGTGGACATAATTCTTCCTTTTTTTTTTTTAAAGTCAATTTTATTTTAAAAAGTAAAACAAAACAAGGCAAAAATCAGAAACAAAGAAACAGGGTAACATGGGGGCCGGGGAGATGGCTCAGTGGAATAAGCGCTTCCCCGGCAAGCGCAAGAGCCTGAGTTCAATCCCTGGTTCGGCCAAAAAAAAAAAAAAAAAAAAAAAAAAAAAAAAAAAAAAAAAAAAAAAAAAAAAAAAAAAAAAAAAAAAAAAAAACCAGAAACAGGGTAACATATAACAATACATATGTTACAGATTTTCAAATCAACAGCTGATTAACAATGATTGATACGTTATCTATTCTTACTGTCAAATCTGTCCCTCAGATTAACAGATATAGTTATGTAGGATTGGACATAGGGTTGACTATTACCACTTGCTTTCAAGAAACCTTAAATTTTTGTTGTCTCTCTTTTTTCACCTTTAAAAAAAAATTGTTTTAAAGAGAAAAATCACATTTGCTATACCTCAAATAGTTTTTTTTTTTTGCAGGGCCGGGGATTGAACTCAGGCCCTTGTGCCTGCCAGGGAAGTGTTTATTCCACTGAGCTGTCTCCCTGGCCCCTCAACAGATCTTAACAGAAAACACATCTTTAGGGGATAGATACTTTCAGTAAACATGAGTGGTGGTAAACATGCAGTCACTACTGACACCATCTGAAACTGGCCTGAGACCTGCCGAGATGCCATCAGCACAGATGGCAAAATGGCCAAAAAGGAAGACACTTTACCCTGCAAGTCGCGAGCTTTAAAGTTTCTGTAAAAGGTCATGAGAAAGCCCCAGCGGGCTGCAGACCTCACTTTTGAAAGCTACTGAAGGTAGAAAATCCCTTAGATAGCACAATTAAGAGAAAATGAGAAATATATACTAACATCAAGAATAGCCTTATAAAGAAAAGTGCAGATTTTCTACTCATTTGAAAAATTCTAGTAACTTAAAATATATTTATAATTATACACATACATAGGAATATATATTTACATATAAATGAATCTAAATATAGCAATCAGGCCAGGGTGCTTAAATTGAGGGTTAGAATCTTTTTTTTTTTTTTGGTACTTAGTACAGGGTCTACAGGGTCTCACTACGTAGACTGGACTTGGAAGTGATCCTTTCTGTTTTTCAGCCCCCCAAGCACTGGGATTACAGACGCATGCCACAGGGTTAGAATATTGGTTCCTCTTAGAAGCTGAGAGCTGAGAAAATTATCCTGTGTTCCTCAGGTTCCCTGTCCATAAAATGAAGATGTAAGTACTCTTCTATCTCAACATCATCTCACAAAAATTATATGAACTAATGTCACTATTTTAAATGTGATATGAAGCCAGGCACGGTGGTACACACCTGTAACCCCAGAAGTTGAAGGGCTGAGGCGGGAGGATCATCATGATTTTAAGCCCAGCCTGGCTAACGTGAGAACAGATGGCCAGCCTGAAGAGAGTGAGGCCCTTTCTCAAGAGGCTGTGTGTGCATCTGTGTTGGGGGGTCTGATATGATAACTTATGCAACTGATATCAGCTATTTTAAAAGAATTCTGCTAATGAATATTAAATGTCCAATTTTCTGTGAAACTGTAGATAACAAATAATTCAATGAAAGGAAGAAAATTTGCCAATATGGGGAACAATCTGAAGGTGGTTTCCTTCCCCAGCCACGGTCTTCTACTTTGCTCTTCGGAGCCTTCCTCATCGCTGCACATTCCTGAAAGATCCCCAGTTGTTCCTTAGGTTCAATAAACACAAGTCCAATGCAGCTCAGTTTAACAACTCATTTTTCCACCTGCCCTCAGTTTAGATGAGCCTACTAGCCTTCATAACTAGCTTCAAGGAATTATCTGCTCTTTAACCTTCCCACTGTCCTCCCTTCTCAGGAGGCCCAGATAAAGAATGGGGTCAGGAACAATCCTCTGTTGACTTATCTCTAGGTCTAGCAGCACTCTCTGGGTCACTGCTCCTCCCACACAGACTATTTGGCGCAGACCTCACATGTGGCAGGGTCCTCATGCAATTTCTACCCCAGGTTGCAAGACATGCAGAAGCATTTCATTCCATCTCTGGGCAGCAAAGCCTCAGCTCACCTGAGGTGACCCTGTCAGCAGCCGGCCACCCCATCATCTGCTACTGGAGTGGAGCACTGGCTCAGCTCTAGCTTAGAAGCTTCACACAGAGCCCATTTTGGAAACAGATAGTTTTGTCACCCCAGATGAAGGGTACCGAACCATTCTCACTCCCCACAACATCTCTCTGGTCGCTTTGGAGGTGTCAGGGATGTTCCGGTGACACTCCTGCTAGATGGGAGAGGAGGCCCGCTAGGGATGGGTACACAAGGAGGCAAGCCAGGCCTCTTCATTCAGCGCAGCCACAGCACTGGGAATACCTAACCTCCTGGGAGGCAGACGAGCGCAGATCACCCTTTGCAGAACTGAACAAGCACAGAACAGAAGTGCGATGAACTTTATCTCCACGACCGGAGTGGAGAGGCAGGCCAAACTGGAGCAAGTGCCAGGGACAAAAGGTCTACCATAAATGTATGCAAGAATCATCAGAAGTTATAGCTGTCCCAAGCTGGACAGAAAAGGATATAAATGTCTTCTACTTCAGGAACAAGAAATTATTAAAAATACAAAGAAGATGAAAATAATATTACCATGCAATGTGGAGAATGTCATCTCTGCAAAGACAGCAGAGCAGTAAGGGGCGTACAACACGGGGATCTGTGTGTTTCACGTGGTGTAGACAAGAGCACTCTTAGAGGCAGTGGCCAAGGAAAGAGGAGGGAGGCTGACACACTATCAGGTCTGTGGATCAGTTTCCAAGGGGCTGACTGCACCCAGGGGCCAAGGTGACCTGAATCCCCAAAGCAGTCACCACAGGCAAGGAGCGGTCTCTTTAATTCATCTCTGGATACTTCAGAAATACAATTTGGGGCATGTGTTACAAGGAAAAAAGGTTAGGAGACACCACTTGAGTTAATCCTGAAGTCCAAAACTGAATTTCATGCATTCACTTATTTAGTAGTTGGGCACAAGTATCAGCTATTTCAGGAACAGAGATACAGCAAAGAACCAGAACGATGATTCTGGCCCTCACGGCGCAGAAGGTACCAGACAGAAAACAGCTCATAAGAAAAGCAACACTTGGGCAGGATTCAAGGTGGTAAACAAGCAAATGAAAACCAATATCCAAGAGTTCTTAGCTAAGAAAAAATAGTGCACAGTCCCTGTGGTAGAAACATAATTGTTACGTTCAAGAATCAAGAGGGGTACGATTTTGTACCCTAAAGGGGACATTAGTATTCAGTGGTGCAAAATACTTGTCATCGGAAGACATCAGTATTTTACTGATTATTTTAGAAAGCTTTCAACAACAAAGATAACACATGTAAACTCTGAAATACAATGCCTGGAAACTAAATTTAACTATTATGACCTTAAAATCAGTAGTAACAGTAAAAATAAAGGCACACTCCTTTCCTGGGAGAGGGGTGTTAAGTCTGAAGGCCTGACTCGCACTCCGTCCTTCCTGTGACCCCAGCACCCTGGCCACAGTGCCACAGTGTGCACAGTGCCACAGCACAGCAGCAGAGAAGACCCCAACTCCTAAGGGAAAGGTTGCCTGGGCAACAAGACAAGCCCTGGTTCCCTTGCCTGCTGGCTACAATTAGTTGTGTTCCAAGTCACATTCCACCATAGGGCTAAGGAACCCTAGTAAAGCACGAGAATTAGACTAACTCAAGTTTGAATAATAAGCATCCCTTGGCCGGGGAGATGCCTCAGTAGAATAAGCACTTGCCTGGCAAGTGCAAGGGCCTGAGTTCAATCCCCAGTTCCACAAAAAAAAAAAAAAAATGTAGATGACATAAGCATCCCTTTATTTGCTGACTGGCATTACAAAAACAGATCACATTAGCAAGAAAAGTGTCTTGAGTTGATGTCAGAGGCAGTTACTCCCCTAAAGTGTTAAGTAAAATGGTGTACAACATCAGTACTAAAGTGTTAAATTTTGCATTGTCTTTATCACTTTGATCTTCTGAACAAATGAGTTGAATAAAATATGGTAAAAGTTGACACATTTATTTTATATTCAGGAATGTAAACGTCTAGTTATTCAAACAGGTTTCATTATAAAATTGAACTCTGAAAGTGTCTATGGGTTTGGCGTCTTATTAAATATTTCTCTTTAAATAAGTTGTCTAACAAGGATTAGAAAAGACAAAACTCTGTTCAGTGTTTCTGACGGTAAAAAGGGTGAAAACATAAATGAGGCTGTAATTTGGCAAAAAACAATACAATGCCTTCCTCCTGTTATCCTCACTTGAAAGGATTCCCAGCTACTTCACTCTGTAAAAGATCAGAAAGAAATTCATTCTACAATAAAGCAACAAAAGTCAAATCAGAATACATTTTTTTCTACATATTCCACTTGACTAACTATGGCCCTTTCAAGGCAATTTACACTGAGAAAAACAACAATTTTTAGGATTCAGAAGCATTTACGTAAATATTTTACAATGTGAGCCAAGTCTTATTAGAAAACATTTAAGAGGAAAACACTGTAAACCCATATTTTTATTAGTCCTACTCAAGAACTTATAAATCTAAGGCCACAGAGAAGCATTAAAAAGACTCAGAAATTTATAACTTCTCTCTCATGAATAAATATTCCCAAGGTCTAAAGGCAAGAGGTAACTGGCAATCTTACAATTTTTTATGCTCTACAAACAAAGCTCTTCTCTAATAACACTAAGGCCTGTTGACTAACTCAGAGTATTTATCATATTTCATACATTCTTCGTATCTCACCACATGTCACAAAGGGTCTGCCTAGCTCAGATCCAAGTTTAAGAAACCATCAATGATGTCACCAAAGCTGGTTTCTTCAGACAGGAGAAGGCATTTTAAAATGGATAGTTAACAGCTAGGAAAGAAGTCAGGGTTATGTTAAGTTTCTCATTATAAGAATGCTTGTTAATAGGGAAATGAAAAAGAGTGGTGAGCTGAAGGAAAAACAAGACTGAAATAAGACATATGGGGCATACTTTCAAGACTGGACAGAGGAGCGGAAGCCAGGAGAAGGAGAGAAGAGGGAGTCGCCCCAAGAAGCAGGACAGAGGTCTATTCCCAATTTGGGTGAGGAGGAATGTGACCTAAGTGGGACTCCAGGGATTACAGAGGTCAGCTCACAAGGGTAAAAGACTGAGATGCGGTGCCATCACTTTTGCAGACACTCTGAGAGCGAGAGGGGTTTATTACGCAGAATCCTCTGAGAGGTAACAGACCTAAATTGGCATTTTAAAGAAAAGCATGTACTGAAATGGGCCAGAGGAGCAGCAGCCTGTCGAAGGTGCACCCCCAACGCCTCCTGCAGTCGCAGGTGGGGAGTGCTCACAGGCGGCTGACCCGGGGGTGTGACTACTACATCAGCCCACCAAAAGGGCAGGTGGCCTAGAGAGAGCACAGCGGGACCGAAAGAGGCTGCTGTGGCCGCGTGCCGCCTTCCGCCTGCCCTGCTTCGACCGGGCCTGCGTGTCCTCTGCAAAGCCCTCTGCCACACCACCCTGTCTTGGAGCCAGCCGATTACGGGCTGAGTCGTGTATGAACTATGAGCCACGACAGACCGTTCCTCCTTTAACTTTGGATATAGCAGGAAAGTCAGACAAGGCCCACGTTTTTCAGGACACCTGCCCTACCTCTGAGGCCTGCGCTTAGCCATCAGTCTTAGGTATGGGTTCTGAAAGGCAGAGCTCACTGATGAGTTTTCCTCTGGCCTGCAGGACGGTAGGATTCTCTTAAAATAAACAGCCTGGAAAGAGTACTATCTGAGGTACTCGGAAACAGCCCCAAGAGATAATATCCGGTGATGAATTCAAGATATAGGCAGCATAATTTAAGTCATTTTAAAAAATCAGTAAAAGCTGGGTAACAACAAAAGAAATCCTGCATACACCAGTTAAAATACAAGTCATATTTAAGTGCTAATTGATTCAAGCTTTTTAAGGTAACACAGGCAAAAAAGCTTATTAATTTTGTTAATGATGGACTTATCCTCAAAACTCTCAGTTCAGTCACTAAAAGAATAGATTCTCAGGTAACCTACAAAACCAAGGAAGTTTAATATTCCCACCTATAGGTACACAATAAATTTTGTGTGTTTTCATATTTTAAAAAAGTGACAATTTTTTTTGCAATCATCAGTTAAAATGTTGTGGCATCTTTATTTTACCAAGTCATAAATGGAGGGCAGAAGAGATGTAAGTATTTCCCCTGACCTACGATCCAAAGAAGCTAACGATGCTGCAGGCATCATAGCACGGACAGCCCTGGGTGCCAAGTTACAGCAGTTTGTGTGCTGTAAAGACCAAATTCAGGAAAGATGGAGCTTCGTCCCTTCCATGCCAAAAGTCCTTCAGACTGCACAAGATGGAAAGAAAGCACTAAGGAAGGTAAAGGCTGCCAACCGAAAGTTCTGACAGAAACAAGGGGACATTTCCTTCGGTAAAGGGAATTTTCCTGATTTGTGGTAAATACACATCACACATACCCCAGCAATTAACAGAAAGCAGTACGCCATTTGTTCTTACCCATACCCGGTAGTGTCATTTCTCCTTTGTGAGCTGTTTGTTTACAGCCTGAAGCAACTGCTGTAGCTGCACGACAGTCTGGTTGAGACTTACAGACACTGTCTCCTTCTCGGAGGAGTCCTGGGAAGAAGAGGGCAATGATGGAGAAGTCAGCCACAGGGAAAGAGTGCACAACCACGCCCAGAAAATACATTATTACTTCAAGTACAGACATGAAAGTTATGAAAAATGAAGGAAAAGTTAGCACCAACAAAAGCCACATAGAAAGCTGCCTGTAACTACTGGTGCAAACCAGATGGCATCAAACAAATCTGTGCTGTAGGAAATTCTGTCTTGGCCACAAAAGGAAAAATGGAGACTCTATAAATATCAGAAATAGAAGCACTGTTCCTTTTAGAGAAATAAAAGCCTCTCTAGTCAATCAGAGCTAACTGAGTGCCAGCAGTCCTGAGTGCTGGCCCACTACCGCGGGCATCCACATGAGTCTAGCCCTCCCACTGGTGATGGAAGCCTCCGGCACGCTAGGGAAGGGCTACCCCCCAGCCTGGTATTTTACACATTATAGCTTGTTTATTCCTGCCCACAACCCCACAGGACAGGAGCCAGTATCATTACCTTGTACAGATGGGCAACCAAACCTCCCACCAACTAGGAATTTGCCTAGTTACATATGAAGGTCCTAAGGAGCAGGGCTAGGTGGCATTCACAGGCTGTCCATCTCCAGACCCCAGACCCCACACCCTTAAGAACTACACACAGGGCCTCTCCACACAAACCTTAAAAATGGACACAATATCTCACTAAACTACAGTGAAAACAAATACAGACCATTCTGAAAAGAATTGACTTTCAATTAAATGTGGAACACAGGGGTTGGGGTTTAACTCAATGCTAGAACGCTTGGCTAGTGCAACCCTGGGTTGGAGCATCAACACTGCAAAAAGCCGACTCAACAGGAAAGTGCAACATAACTGGCAATAGCACGTTTTGAAAGTCAGAGACAGATCTTGCACATGGGCATTATTCCCATGTATAAGACAAATGGCCCGAGGGTCTGGGGTTGAAGAAAATTCATTACCATTTCTGGAGAAACATCATTATCCTCAGCAACAGTAGGATCTCCAGCAGCTTGTACTATTTTTGACTGGATAAGATCCAGTGACTGTTGGGCCTGTAAGAAAAGCAATACAGTACCTGATACATATACACAAAATGACTGCTTGGTTATGTATTTTGTACAAAATTAAAGTCCTTTGAAAGTATGACAATAGCTATATCCTTTATCAGATTATAAGAACACATGTACACTATTTCAGAAAGTTCAAATGCAGAAAACTATTCACAGAAAGTTTTAATAGAAATGTAGTTGATCCACAGGTAGTATTAGTCTGGAACAGGATCGTACAAATCTAGCCTGTTTTATTTTTATTTATTTATTTAGCCTGTTTTTGTATAGCTCAAATCTAAGGCTATTTAATGTTTTTAAACATTTTATTTTGTATTTTTTTTAGTGTGTGTGTGTGTGTGTGTGTGTGTG